TAGAGACAGTTCTGTAGCTCGCAAAAGAAGGTCAAAGGTCATCCTCTCATTCTGGCTTTATGTTCTCATTCTGGAAAATGACCCAGTTTCCATTTATATTTTCACTAAACTTTATCACGATTAAATCAAAACTTAAGTTTGAGGGACAAACAGCACAGAATGGAAGGCTTCTGCTGTTTAGCTATCTCTTCCCTCTTGCCTTCCATCGGATGTCGTCATCCCATCCTTTAAAAGCTTCATCCCCAGAGTGGAGGAGCCTGCTTGCCTAATGTCTGCCAGGATCTATGTAGAGCAATCACTTTGCCATCTAGATTCCAGGAACTTCTCTCACTGGTCCCACCCTCTTCATCTTAGCAGCCAGGACCACAGATGAGTAGGGATTCTCATTATCTATCTATTGTCACCCTAGATCTGGTACATGAGAACCAAGTAGATTTGGGAGATGAGGTAGCTGGTCTAAGAGAATAAAGGCTTTTAGCTCTCTTCCCAAACTCTCACCCATATATCACTTGCGTGCCACCTCTTCAAAACACATGTATTTCAGGTATTTTGCACCTTAGATGCCTTCATGCTGAACTTTGTGTGTTAGTAGGCTTGAGCTGCCATAGAAAGATTTTGTAGGTGCCCTGGCTCAACCAGTAGGAACTTATCTTCTTCAAGTTGTAGAGGCTGAGAAGTTCAAGATCAAGGTGCCAGCAAGGCAGTTTCATCCTGAGGCCTCTTCTCTTGTTTCAAGAAAGGTCCTATCTCAGGGTGCGATCATAAAACCTCTTCTTCGATCAGTCCTAAAACGATAAAGAGATAGAACCAACTCTTCAGGGGTAGCACTAAGTCCCACCATGAAGACTCTACCCTTGTCATCCCATCTAATCTTGGCCATCTCCCAAAGGCCTTGTCTTCAAAAGTCATCGCTTTGGGAGTCAAGCCTCCAATATTAATTTGGTCGGGGGAGGTCTAGGGAGAAGAGGGACACAAACAATCAATCCCTAACCTCTAGGAAGAAAATTTTTGCCAGCTTTGCAAAGGAGAAACGGAGGCTAAGAGAAGCAAATGTGTTTGGCTAAGTCTACTGGAGGGAGACCTAAGGATGGCAGTGTCCATGTTGATGGCCTATCTATGCAGCTGGTTCCCAGCCAGCTCTTCCCTCCACCCACCAGCCAAGAGCACAGAGCTACTATCTATTAACACGCTGAAGGGTGTAGAAGTTTTAAAATATGTGTGCAGATCGTTTGACATCCTCCTTCAAAAGCTGAAACCCAGCTCCCCCTTGCTTGTATTTGGCCTGTATGTATCCCTTTCTAAAGGGTAGAAGGAGGCAGAACCAGTGGTGTGGGAGTTGTCAGATGGGGCCAGAAAAGATGCTGTGTCCACCTTGTCCACCTTCTTTTTAGTTCTCTTCCCATCACTGGCTCTCAGGGAGATATATTGTGTGCTGTGGAGACTCAGCCATGTGATGGGCTACATTAGGCATGTGAACATTTCTTATGCTCCTCAAGAACCAGATAGTCAAAGAGTAATTAGGAGACAAATTTAAAACATCTCAAGACAAAAATGGTGACACTTAATACTAAATTGTATATTATCATTTTTTATATAAGGTCACTCTATCTTGCTCAGAGTAGCATTGAACACCTCGACTCAGTGACCCTCCTTCTTCAGTCTCTTGAGCATGTGGGAGTGTAAGTGTATGCTATTTTATTGTTGTTTTTGAGGCAGGCTCTTGAAGTGTATCCCAGGCTGGCTTCAAATTCTCAGTTTCCCTATTTCAGTTTCTCAAAATCTAGGATCACAGGTGTACACCACTAGTTTGGCAAATATCTGTGTCTTTTAATGAGGCAGGACTACATGGAGCAAAAGAATTATTTAGTAAATTTTGTATGAAAATGATATTTAGGAGTTTGATATAATCAGTAAGTTCACAAACTGCCTAAGGTAGATGATATAACTTATCTAAATTTCATTTTCATGTGTAAGAAATTGAGATGTTGGCTAGGTGTGGTGGCACATGCCTTTAATTCCAGCACTTGGGTGACAGAGGTGGATCTCTGAGTTCGAGGCTAGCCTGGTCTACATAGTGAGTTACAAGCCAGTCAGGGATATATAGTGAGACTATGTTTCAAAGGAAAAAAAAGATAAATTGAGATATTAATTTAATAATATCTTATAGAGTTACATGATAACTAATGAGTTAGTGCATACCAAGTGTGTAGCCAAGTAGCCAACGAATAGCTTCAATTAATGTCCAATTATTAATGTAAATATTAGGCATAAAACTATAAGGATAGATAGATAAAGAGTTTAATTAGCAAGCACAGAACCTACATATTTGTTAAGATTAATTTTTGATTGGGGGCTGGAGAGGTGGCTCAGAGGGTAAGAGCACTGGTTGCTCTTCCAGAGGCCCTGGGTCACTTCCCAGCAACCACATGGCAGCTCATAGTTGTCTGTAAGTCCAGTTCCAGATGATCTGACACCTTCACACTTACATACACGAAAGTACTTGAAATAAAATAAATTATTAAAAGATTAATTTATAATCAACACATGACTGAGAGTGCTGGATGAATAACTAAAAAAAACCCTTGAACTTCCAACATGGTCATTAGAATATTGAGTTATTGAATGGTAGCATAGCAAACTGAATAGTGAAAAAACACTCCATTTCTGGGTCTATAGGAAATAGCAATACTAAAAGCATATCGTATACCTGATATCTGACACACCCACAGAATGTTCTAGTAAAATTGCAACTACTGTTGAGATCAGCTACGCCGATTTTTCAGATGTGTTTCTGTTTCAGACGCCCAGTCTCTTGAATGAGATACCACCTCCTGTTAGTGAGCATGGGCCAGCTGCCACTGAGCCCTAGCCCCTGGAATCTTTCTGGCTAGGGGCTCAGAACTCTAGATCAGGATGAGAGCTTTGGTCCACCTCTCTGCTCCCCTTCTGTGAGCCCCCATTTTTCTTTTCCCCTTCCATTTAGAGGCGGGTGTGTGCATGCATTCTTGGTATGCACATGTGTGGGCATGCATGTGCAGGCCTGACATTGATGTCAGGGGTCACCCTCAACTTCTCTTCCACCTGTTCACTGAGGCAGAGTCTTAAGCCCAGAGCTCTCTAAAACGGCCCGTCTTGCTGGCCACCATGCTTTGCCTTCCCAGGCCACCATGCTCACTGGCGTTTGCTTGGGTTCTAAGGCTTTGAACTCCTCAGCAAGTGCTTTAATCACTGGGCCACCCCTGCTGCCTCTAGATTCCATTCTTTTTTTTTTCAAATCTTTTTTTTATTTAAATTAGAAACAAGCTTGCTTCACATGTCAATCCCAGCTCCCTCTCCCTCCCCTCCTCCCCAGCACCCTCACCAGCGCCCCAGTCCTCCCATGCCCACTCTTCTCCCCAGGGGGGGTGAGGCCCTCCATGGGGGAATCTCCAGAGTCTGTCATTTCCTTCAGGGCAGGGCCTAGGCCCTCCCCTATGAGTCCAGGCTAAGAGAGCATCCCTCCATGTGGGGTGGGCACCCAAAGTCCATTTGTATGCCAGGGATAAATACTGATCTACTACCCAAGGCCCCATATATTGCCTAGGCCTCCTCACCGACACCCACATTCAGGGGGTCTGGATCAGTCCCATGCTGGCCTCTCAGTCATCAGTCTGGGGTCCATTAGCTCCCCCTTGTTCAGGTCAGCTGTCTCTGTGGGTTTCACCAGCCAGGTCTTGACCCCTTTGCTCATCACTCCTCCCTCTCTGCCACCGGGTTCCAAGGGTTCAGTTCAGTGTTTAGCTGTGGGTGTCTGCCTCTGCCACTGGATGAAGGTTCTAGGCATTATTCGTAATAGCCAGAACCTGGAAGCAACCCAGATGCCCCTCAACTGAAGAGTGGATAGAGAAAATGTGGTACGTTTACACAATGGAGTACTACCTAGCTCCCATTCTTAACCCCAACCTTTCAACTCAGAAATTCAGCTTTGATCCTTCCCACTTCCTTCCGATGGTTACTTTAACCGAAGTGAGTCAGGGCTTACTGAAAAAATGACCACAGCCTCTCTGATCCCACCCGCCCTGTCCCAGGGCTGCCTGGCCAGCACGTGTGTGTGTGTGTGTGTGTGTGTGTGTGTGTGTGTGTGTGTGTGTGGTGTCGGGGTTACTCAGCCATTATTTCCTCTTATCTTCCAAGTCACGAGACCTCCAGTAGGGCTTCCCCAGCCACTGCCCCCCCAGAAGTTAATCTAACACCTTCCTGGTGGCTCAGGGAGGGGACAGACTAACTGGTTGAACCCTTTGGGACCCTATCCAGTAGGCCAATTTACCCATATTCTATTCTTTTGGTTCAATTCTCTTGTCTCTGGTCTCAGCCCAAAGAAGAATCCCAGTACTTGGACAGCTGAGGCAGGAGAAGCAGAATTCAAAGCCATCCTGAATTTTAGCCGAGACCTTGTCTCAAAGCATCGTGGGCTGGAGATTGAGTTCAGCAGCAGATGTTTGCTTAGCATTTGAAAGGTCCCGGGTTTAGATCACCGGACTGTGGGAGGCAGGGTTGGCAGGAGTTAATTAAAAATTGTGGTTGCCAGTAGTAACCAAAGTTGTGGACTATCTTCCAGTTCCAGGAGCTAGTTATAACTTTCTGTTAGTCCCCAGAGTCCACCCAGACAGATTTAAATTTACCCCGAAACCTCTGCAGCTTGAAGGATGAGACATATTATGCTTCCCTTGCTTAGCATTGGTTGTGTGTTCAGAGTCACGTTTCCCATCTTTGGACGCTAGCACGGCCTTTAAGGGTTTCATGGTGTGTCTTAAAAGACTTAGTTTGAAGATCTCAATGATTTACGCTGATGCTTTGAAAGTGAAGCAAGATTTCCTTCTGATGAGATCTGTGCTCCACCCTTTCCTGGAGAGGTTGCAGGCATCCTTTCTTTGGAATACAAGATTCATTCACCCCTTTGGCTATTCAGAACTTTGAGGGACATTTTTTCAATCAGACAGGATTCAATGGACAGCACAATATGATTTGAATAAGATCCATTTATTTAAAATTATAATCTGCTATAAAAACAGACAAACAGTACACCATTCCCAGAGGAATTGAATTATTTCTAGTTAAAAATGAGTTCTATTAGAACTAATTTTAGGCGGTTATAAATAAACTGGCCACAGCTTTCAAGAATGAAATAGTTGGAGAATGAAGTCAGGGGAATCCCTCTGAGCTGTGGAAAGGACAGTCATCAAAAGGGCTCCCCGGTTTCCCTTCCTAAGCCCTGTCTTTACTACTTCAGGAGTCCTGAACTCAGGGATGGAAGAAACTAGGGGGCATCACAGTAAACGTCTGTAGCTGTGAAATGTGGCCAGCCTTACAATGGAAGCTTCAGCTGGCTTTTCAAAGAAGACCCCCCCCCATAATATAACATAATTTAACTTAGAACACTGAAATACTACCACGCGTCCCTTGTGGAAACAGCTTAAACATAGGTAAAGATAATAAATATTGTGAAGTTATAATACTGGGCTTCTTTCTAAATAGTTCACAGAGAAGCTCATTGAATAAATAGGGTGGGAACTGAGGTATCAGAGGTAATAAATACTTTGGAGAGAGGTACAACGAGGTTTCCCAAGGAGCTGCTTCTGCCAGCTAAGATCCCCGGGTAAGATTAAAGAGGTCTGTTTAAGTCCGTAGACTCAACACACACTCTGGGTGTTCTAGCTTTTCATTTTGATGGTCATGTACACTTCTATGCAGTTGATGAAGATGTCAAATTCATTCATGGCCTTGAAGACGCCTTTCTCTTGGAGCTGTGCAGGGAGAGAAACACCTGGTTAAGACCTGTTGGAGGGCTGAAGAGATCCCTGGACTTGGCTGGGCAGGACCCTAAAAGCAGAAGGCTCTCTGCTTTTCTGTGTTGGGAAATGACAAACTTTGGGAACACAAGGATTTGTCCCACTGCCTTGGGAAGGGGCTGTGCCTTCGCCTGCATCATCTCCCAGCTTTACGCTCTGCCAGTAGCCAGCAAGGAAAACTTATTCTCAAAGCACTGTCTTCAGAATGGCCCTTTTTCAACATTTTTAGAGGCCCCGGGCTCAAATAATGCTTATGCAGAATGTTGTGCAAAGAGTTAGAGGAAGCAGTTTGAGAGCAGGACAGCGACAGAGAAAGACTGTCGCTATGTTTTGGGCTGTTTAGGCAGTCCCCGCCCTGCTCTTCTGGCCTACAGTCAAGGGATTCATGCCCACTGATGTTGGAACCCCGCCAGGTATCTCTGCCTAGCCCATGAAGATGACGTAGGCCACATGGCTTCTGGGAACTAGGGTTTAATGGGTTCACAGGCAGTTGGCAGTGTGAAACCTCATTTTGTTTGCCAGGTGGAAAGTGTACCAGGACAAATAAGAATTCTTCTTCCTGCTTTTGGGGGCATCCAGGCTGAGCCCCAAGATGTGCCTGTGTGCATCAATTCATGTCTGCTTTCTGCACTTGTGGGTTCAGCCCATTTCCCAACAAGGTACTTTCTGTACTTTCTGTTTCCTTTGTCACTCTCCCCAGCACCTAGTGCTCTGTGCTCATAGGTTGTCCCGTCAGTCTAAGCCGAAAGCCTGCAAAGGTGAGGCAGTCATTTAGAAACTGCCAGAGACGCTTTGCAGAAAACATTGTGACTGAGGTGGCGGCTCCTAACTGGCAGAGGAGGTCACACGATTTGCCAGGTTCCCACACTCCAGGTGCGGAACAGGTCCCTCCTTCTGCCTTTGGTGAGCTGACCGGGGCCACGTTATGCCCACCCCCCTTGCCACCACCCAAGCTTACCTTATTAAAGTTATCCTTCACCTGTTCCACAGCCTTGCTTTTATTTTCACAGGGGAGAAATCGATGCTGTAGAAGAAAAGGAAGTGTTAATAATTCTAGCTCCAACCCCGTGTCCACACCACATGGGGGAACAACCTCATTGCCTGATGAAAGGGCTGGATTCATCTTCGATGCCCACCTCTTCGCTCCCAGGGAGAACTGAGCCCTGCTTCGTTCTTATCTATTGCACTAGAGGAGAACAGCCCAGGAAGATGCAATGTGTGTCTTTGGAATTACTAAGATGTTTGCAATGCATGGGTGTGAACTCAGGTCTCGGGCTTTGTCTCTCTATTGTGTTTTGTGTGTCTCATCTCGTCTATCTCCAATCTCAACTGCCATAAACTGTGTCTAGGTGTCTGAGAGTGGGGATTAAAGTCTCAGCTACTGGGGTCAAATCGCTGGCTTAGAACCAGTGCACAGATAGACACCAACTGATCTCCCAGTATCAGTGAGAGAAGAAAAAAGCAAAGACATCGCTTAAGTCAGAGAAATAGATGCTCTGGGTGAATCATTCATAGAGCCTGGTTTAGGGACAGCAGTCTTATGGCCCTTCTGAAATGCCAGGGAGAGTCCTATCAGCCCAGTTGTGTGTTGCTGAATTTGCTTCCCAAAAGCTGAGACAAAGAGGTGAATATCATCCTCTGCTTGGAAGCCTCAGCTGTCAGCCTGGGGCCCAGGTCCAAGGAGACTTGAGGGAGCTGTAACTGAAGCCCTGGCCTTCCCATGAAGAGAGGGGAGTAGCTAATAACCCACAATGACTCACAAATAACAGGAAGGCTATGCGCAAATCTTCACGTGTAAGTGCCTCAGAGCCACCCCCACACTCGCCCAGAGACAGATGAGCCGGAGATCTGAGTGGAGGCACTGGTGTAGATTTACCTAGTCCCCAGTCTAGTCTGTGTGTCTCTGGATGCATGTGGCCTGGCTGGGCTGTAGGAGACGGTATTTGCTGGGTGACTCCAAGGGAAAGAACTGGTCTGCTACTCACACAGCGCTGCAGTTGCCTCCTGAGGGTCTTCAGCTTCTCTCCTAGGGAGTTCAAATGCTCCTTGATTTCTGGGCCGTGGTTCTCTGCCTGGGGCATCACTTCTACCAGGTAAAACTGGATCATTTCTGATAAGGTTTGGCAACCCAAGTAACCCTAGAGGCAAGAATCAAAGGTTGGGGCTTACTGCAAGGATGGCCTGTCGCAACTAAACTTGATGGACTGGCTTGTTGTCCCTAGGGGCCCTCTCTTTCTCTCTAGCTGCATTCTGTCCCTTTACCACAGAATGAGCTCTTCACAAGCCTTGACTGCTGCCCATATGCTGAGTTAAGGACTTCCCACTTCTCCTTTTGAAAGGCATGGCATGAGACCCAGCTCCCCAGCTCCCGCTGTCTCAAGCAGAGCCTCCCTTCCCTAACCACTGGATGGCGCCCCAGCACCCATGCGACCCTACCTTAAAGTCCTGCAGTAAGGAGTCAGTGAGTAGTATGTTGTCCAGCTGGTCCTTCTTTTGCTGCAAGAACAAAAAGGAGCATGAATGCCAAGGCTGAGGCGCACACCTGGCATGCATATCTTCTGATACCTCCTCATTTATCGGGTTTGATGGTGCTAGAGCCTGGAGTGAAATCAAAGCCCTTCCTCTTAGCACCGCGCTGTTTCATAGAAGCTTCCGCCTGGCTTGAACACCCAGGCAGAAGCGTGACCCAGGCCTGGTCTTCTTTCAGATGAGCCACATCAGGTTTCAGGGGCACCTGTGTCAACCCCTCCTTTCCAGAGTCCCTTATGGAGAGTGTCTTAGTTGCATGGCTCTCTGCCTTCTCTGGAAAGAGACTCCTCTCATAGTGCAAGCTCTCCATGCCTGGTGCTGCCCTGGATCCTAAGCAGAGGCAGCATGTGTCTCCTACTTCGGACTTCTGTCCCAGCCATCAAAATACGGAAACTTCACTGAAAGCTCCTGAGCACTGGAGAGATGACGCAGCCACCGTCTAGGTGGCTTTTCCTGTGTGCCTGGGCTTAGTTTAACCCATAACCCATAGCTTAGGACTCTGCATTTAAGTGTAAGGGGAATAGGTGCTGGGGATAGAGGAGGAGCAGAGGGGGGTAGGAGCAGGAAAAGGAGGAGGGCGATTTCCATAGTTCCATCAGAACGCGTACTTCCAGCCGTCCCAGCAAGGAAGGTTAGGCAGGCTTCATACTCACAAAGAAAGTCTTCACCTGGCTGAAGGCAGTCCTCAGCTCTCGGAGCATGTGGGTCTGGCTGACTGGGAAGTGGGTGCAGTTACTCTCATGCTGGGTGTACTGGCCTCTGCTGGGTCCCACTCCAGCCAGTAAGAGCAGGCAACAGAGCAGTGCTGAGCCGAGCATGGTGGAGCTCTGCTTTCTGCAAGGCTTCCTTGTGGCTTCGGTACTGCAAGAGCAAGCCCCTAAAGTGTAGACCTCCCCTCCAGTGTCCCCCTTTTATACTGAAGGCTTAATGGGGCCTCTCCATTTACATACTTCCTGGCAAGGGTTATTCAAGCTCCTCCTCCCTCTTAATTTTTTTTTTTTGCATTGTAAGCTAAAAGAACTGGTAAACGAACTTCTGCATAGCTATATTTAGTATGGGCTACCTCTCTTTTAAAAAAGTTTTTCCTTTTTTTTTGAGCTTCTCAATACAAAAAGTCATATTTCCTGGGGGGGCAGACAGCTGTGCTATGTACAGAGGCCTACGATTGTGAGTTCCATTCACGAACTTTTAGGTCACAGTGACGTGGATAAATGGGCTATTCCAGAACATATTAGGATTGAGAAATAATTGGTTCCGCCACTCAACCTGGGTTGAAGAGCCGATATTTCCTGCTGACTAGGAATTCATCTTAGCACACAGTTATCTGAAGGAAGCACTCACGGGCACACTGTCTTTAGAACTTGCTCTCTTCTGCGTCTTCCGTCTCCTGTTCAGGACTGTCCCTTGAAGAGGTACGTGTGCTGTGGGATGGATGCTCAGAATGGAGTGCCGGGGCCTCCTCTGGCCCTTGCTGCACCGAGATTCCCAGATTCCAGTGTTGGAAGTTAGGAGCAGGGGCTCAGACTTCTGAGAAGCTTGCTGGGTCTGGCAGGTGGTCCTCACATGGTCTTGTTTTGCGGTGTCCCAGGCTTGGAGATGTGTAACCTGTCAACCACCTGTGGTTTCTCAAGGACAGAGGAGGTGACCCTCCTAGCTAGTGGGCCAGGTGCTTGGATCTAGCCAGTCTTACTTGACGGGATGACTGGTTGATCAGGAGCCAGGGCTGTGGCCTTCTCCTCAAAACACTCTGGGGTGTGTCAGTGCATAAACTTACTGTGAAGGGAAGAAGAACCTCCTAGAAGTTGGAATGGAGTTGACTCAAGAGCCGCTGCTCCTGTTTATTCCAGGCTGAGTTCTACCAGCCACAGGCACAGAGCAAGGGGCCAGGCAGGGCTCCCTTCCTTTCACTTGGTCCTTCCCTTTTGACTCCTGGCTGGTCTGGGATGTCTGTTTCTGCACGCAGAAGCCACCCTCTCTCTGAGATGCATGTTTTAGGTGTAGACACAGTGCTGCTGACCAGGTAAGCCAGGGGATCCAAATCCCAGATGAGGCTTGAGTTCCTCCTTGACCCGGACGGCGAGGACTCTCACTACCCTTTCTCCTGACAGCATCTGGTACTTATTTCACTGTGACAGCCGCCTCCCTTTGCTGCCCTTGTCGTTCTGAGAAGCTTGTGTTTTCCTCATGGGTCTCACCCCCTGGCCTACAGAAGGTAGTGGCTGTCCTTGGAACTGGCATTGGACAGCTCTGTGAGCCTGACCCAAGGATAAAACATCAGGAGGCAGAGGGGTGGGAGTACAGCTCGGGGAGAGGCAGCACCTCTCACATCTTCTTGCAGTTACTTCTTCTTCTGAAGTTTTCTTTCCCAGATGTACATCAAACTGCTTCACAAAACGTACATACATTATCATGTGCCTAATCATAGTATAGAATTTGTATTAATAAAATTTATACATCATATTTATATATTAATATCTTAATAGTGTCTGAGCACATACTGTTAGTATAATATAATACGGTTTTGTAAATATGCTATGTATTACCATATTAATATGCTACATATGTGTGTACTCCACACTCCCACAATGACAGAAAGAAGAGAGATTCTGAATGCTATATATATATTTCTTGTTAATACATACTCAACTTACTGGGGTTAAGGTTGGGATCTGAATTCTTTATTTGCTCTGAAATGCCAGTTATTCTCAGCCATTTGTTGAGTAGCTCACCCTTTCTTTCCCCATTGATTTCAAATCATTGCTCAACATTTCAGATTCTAAATGGTCCTCAAAAGCCCCAGGTGAGTTCCTTGATGCAAGAGTTCCTTGATGCAAGTGCATTTTTAGCCAAATAAGGACCGTGCAGAGAGCTGCTGTATTTCAAGTCTGGGAGGACGTCTGCTCAGCTGAGAGGCCTTTGGTATACACTGGGAAAAGCCCTAACCCCACAGCTACATCTGAATTGCATGGCAGGAGGTTTGAGCTTGGGTTTCAGGACAAGGGAAGTGCCCATGAGGGGGAAGTGAGAGTGGGTGCCTGGGGAGAAATGGGCACAGCCTGAGTGCCGTTTGGTGCTGTGAATGAAAAAAGACATGACTGTTACATGTCTATCTGTACACTCTTTGGGAATAAATGGCCTGAGTCAGACTAGAACCTAGGGTAGTTGAATTTAAATTCTCCACTGTGGCGCTCAGACGGAGGCTGTGGGTGGGTGGGGGGATGTGGAGGACAATGTCTCCTCCAGTGCCCTTGTTCCAAAATATCCCTATGTCTAGTCAGCTGCCAATGAAGGAACGTTTTATTACGTGTGGCTTAAAAGAAAGTGTTTGTTGATTGTTTGCTGTGTAGCTGGGGATAACCTTGAACACAACATCTTCCTGTCTGTAACACACCATCTTCCTGTCTTAACCTGCAGAGCGTTAGGATGACAGACATGCCTTCACACCCAGCTTGAGAGGCTGCCGGTCTATGGCTGGTATTGCACTCATACATCACCAGGTCCTTTATTGTCTTCTGTCTTCATTGCAAGATGCCAAGGAGCCAGGAAGTGGTGAAGTCCAAGTCCAGCGGCTCATTGATGCAGGACGTCCTAACACTCCGGGAAGTTCTGCCTGGTAAATCACACCATTTTACCTGCAGAGGGGTCTGAGAAGAAAAACTGTTTATGTATCTGTGCTCATATGTCCGCATGAGTAGATTTTAGAGCCTTATGTAAAGCGTACAAGATCTTATGAAGAATCCACTCATGCCCAATGAAAATGGCAACTGTCTTGATATAGTAGCCCCATGCCTTTCTGAAATTCTAGGGAATAGTCTGGGAACCCTCTGTGGCATACTGGGACTGCCAGGGAAAGGCTGAGGGACCCAGGTTCTGGATTCAGGGGTCAGTCAGATTTCCTGGAAATAGCGTTCGCATGGGGAACAAGTGTGTGATGCAGGGAGAGTGGGATTGTTCAGACCTGATACAAAGTCTTTTAAAGATTTTGATCCTATTTGCTATTAATAGTTTCTTTTTTGCAGGGCATTGGGGGTGGGGTCTAGGGAGATGGCTCAGCCCCAAAGAGTATGTGCTGCTTTTTCTGAGGACTGGAGTTAGTTTCCCAGCTTCCAACCACAACTGCCTGCAACTCTGGCCCTAGGGGATCTTATGGACTATCTTGGTCTATGTTAGCATCCTTATCCATGTGGGAATCAGCCTTCACAGGCATGTATAAAACACACACACACACACACACACACACATGCATACACGGGGAAACAGAGTTAAATAAATAATAAAATCTTTAAAAAATCTCTTTAAAAGGCTGATAATGGGAGTTTCATTTCTTCTTATCTAGCGTGTTAAATAGTTTCACTTTAATTTTAAGTGAAACTATTTTCAGTGTTTTTGCATTTGTAGTGTTTCCCGAATAACCTTCTTTAGTGACCTGGAAGGAGTCTCCTTGGTGGTTTCACTGCTTGCGACTTCACTTGTAACACACACACAGTGTGCCTGGGTGGAAGTCCAGCAGATGGGTCTGCAGGCAGGGGATTCCTCAAAACAACCCCTCTGACTTTGGCCTTGTGGTCTTTAAGAATATTTTGGAAAGAAGACTCGGATGGTCAGAAACTTAGGAGGAGTCCAAGTTAAGGCTAGCCCCGGGGCGAATCAGGCCGGGGTTATGCAAACCAGATTGGTCCTGAGAACTGTGGCCAGCAGATGTTGCGAAGCCCAGCGGAAGGGCAGATCACTGGATGGCCAGCATGGAATTCCCCTTTGTGTAACTGTGGTGCCATATAAAGCAATTTGATTTTACTCAGGGACCAACACCTTGCTCTTGAGCTTCTCACGTGAGAAATCTGTCTTATCAGAGGCACCAGGTGTTATATCTGGCTACTCCAAGATGACAGGCATTTGGGCCACCTCTGTGACTACCCAGGATGTCTATAGGTACCTGAGCCTGGGGCACTGGTGTCCTCTCTCAGCTGTAGAACTTGTCCTTTGATGGAAATCTCTCTATGGTTGACACTTCAAGCCTACAGACAGGTCTCAGCAGGGTTGCTTCTTAGACTGACTTTAGCCACCACACTGGGATCCATGATTAAAAGGACCGCATTCTTCACTGTCTTGACATTTTTAGTGACTGTTCAGCAGGGAAACCTGCTCCTTCATTTTGCTCTGGGCCCTCAATTTATGTAGTACGGTGGTTACAACCTCCCTAACGCTGTGATCCTTTAATACAGTTCTTGTTTTGGTGACTCCCCAGCCATAAAATTATTTTCATTGCTACTCCATAACTGTAATTTTGCTACTGTTATGGATCATAATGTAAACATCTGTGTTTTCTGATAGTCTCAGGTGACCCCTGTGAAAGGGTTGTTCAACCCCAAAGGAGTCCAAATCCAAAGGCTGAGAACCTCTGATGTAATATTTTAATTAAAATGTTCTTTCTGTGATGTCATCTTTGTCTGCCACAGAAACAGAGCCATCATCTACCTCAAAAGACAGTCTGTTGGTTCCTTCCTTCCCTCTGCCAGTCCGGGATCAGTTGATCACTAGATCCTCTGGAGTTTTCCTCACAAACATTTCTTTCATTTGTTCACATCTCTTCAGCTCTAATTCAGAGTAACCATTTGCAGGCACCAACAAGACTATGACTCTCCACCGGTGGCTCCCAGCACTTCTTCTAGTTAAACAAAAACTGGCCTGGAGCTCACAATGTGCAGTAGGTTGGCTTTGAACTTATAATGCTAATCCTGCCCCTACCTCCCAGAACTCACCTTATTCTTTTAAAAAGATTTATTTTATTTTTAATTATGTGCATATATGTGTGGGAATGTGTACATGTGAGTGCAAATTCCCATGGAATCCAGAAGAGGGTGTTGGCTGTCTTGAAACTAGAGTCCCAGGTGTTGT